GGATACTACACATTGTTTAGGGTTTTTTAAGTTTAACAGAAAAATGACTATTGCACCATCAAATCAACAGATGTTTGTCAGACAATTCCAAACTGTAATCACACAACAAGCAAAAGCACAAAAATCTAAATCATTGAACTAATGTTTATGGCTTTGTTGCATAGTGAAAAATCCAAGTACAAAAACTGTGTGTGAGAGAGTGTGTGTGGTCTGACATGATTATAAATTCTATGCACAAATACTTACATCATCCTCATATCGAATATGGATGTTAGAAATTTTCAGCTGAAGATTTCTGATGACCTGAGTAATTAGCTTTTCTAGGAAAGTGTCTTGCTTCTCCTGTTGCTTATCTAAATGAAAGTAACCTACTGTTATTAACATTGATGGAGATTGGCTAACAAAATGTAGTAATTTAATTCTATTTATTTTAACCAGAAACCAAATACAAAGAATGTGAAGACAGATACTAAAAACACATATGATTTGGAATTATTTTGCTCTGCATGTTATTTCCCATGTTCTAAGTGGTATACCACTTCTCATTTTTGAAGCACACAACTGAATTGTGAAGAGTAATTCCAATTAACTTCAGATCTAAGACTAAATACATATTTTTAAAATTACGTATAAAAGTATATATATTATGGCTTGACTTGGGATATCAAGGTTCTAGCATTCGGAGGCAGAAAAGTGTCCCCACTTGGCCAAGAGCAGTCATGATCTGGCAAAGATGCTAGACTACCTCTTCACCAAACAGAAAGATGGAGAGCCATCTAATACCAGGTTCTCTCATCCCTGCTTTCCATGTCTGGCTCAAAGGGATGGTAGCCTACCATTAGCCCAGAATAGTATGCTACAGTATTGCTCAATGGCATGCAGATCTGCAGTCTCTACCCACTCAGCCTGACAGTGTCATAAAAACATCACCAGAGGTTGAATGAATTCAGAAAGAGAAATATGCTTATCAAATTGACAGGCTCTATGTTAATATTGCAATATTATTTGAAATCATATTATGGCTGCCTAAATAATTCACCAAGTGGGAAACCATACTACCTTAATCCATACTAAATTATACTTCTTAAGTGATTTAACAAAGGGGTGGCCAAACCATAGCAGATTTATCTTTCACAACAGCAACTACCACAATTGGAAAATAATGTTACCTAAGTGAAGACTCAAAATATGAACACTTTAAAATAAATCACAACTAAGTAATAGTCTCTCTAAACACCTGTAGTGGCTGAGGAACTCCAACTATTCTTGGAGACTGATAATATAAACAGATTTCAATGTTGTTTCAGGCCTGGCTTTGATAAACAAACTGCTCTGGTCATCATAATGAATAATCTATGCTAGGAGAAAGACAAGTGAAGTTCTTCTGGACCTCTCACCAGCTTTTAATACCACTGAACATAATAGAACACTCTCTCTGAGTTGGGAGTTGAAGGTGGTTGTTCCTACTTGGAGAACTAATTCCAGAAGGTGGCGCTGGAGTTTACTCAGCCCCATAAATGCTATGGGTTCTAGCTTGTCTCCCTAAGTTTTAACTTTTACATAAAATGACTGTTGCATGAAATGACATGAAATAAATTCAACCCTAAAAATACAGATGTTCTGTGGCAAAAACAATTCAACTTTTATCAGCTGAGGCTAATCTACCAGCTACTACTCTACCTGAACAGGCAAAACCTTGAATGAGTAATTCATGCTCTGATAACCTCTCAATTGGATTACTGCAATTCTTTCTCTGTCTGGCTACCTTTGAAGACAGTCCAGAAACTTCAAATGGTCCAGAATAGGAAGCCTGCTGATGAGGACTGGCCAATACGAGTATATAACACCAGTCCTCCACCAACTTCACTGGCCACCAATCGAAATCTGGGCCCAATTCCAAGGGTTAACATTAATATTTAAAGCCCTGAATGCCCTGGACCCAAAATACCTAAAGGAGTGCTTCTTTCCATACATGCCTACCTGGGCCCTCAGATTATCATCAAAGGTCCTTCTCAGAGAGGCCCCCTTGGAGGAAATAAGGAGGGTGGCTACAAGGAGAATGGCCTATACTGTAATATTGTTTCATCTGTATATTGTTACTACTCTTTAGTTGCATTTGTAACCCTGCCCAGAGAGCCATTTTGGCTATGGGATGGGACAGAAATAAAATAATAAAATAAAATAGTTCAGAAAGATGGTATTCAAATATTTCCACATGGGTCCACACACTGAAAGATCAAGATTGTAACCTGGAAGTACTCCTGGATCCAGTTTTGACACAAGTCTTGCGTAGCTTTTATGGCAATGAGTGCTCTATGACAGCTTGGATGAGTGAATTATCCATGTACTAGTATCATCTAAGACTATTATATTTTATATCTCTGAAGAAACTTCAGTTAGTTCAAAATACAGCTGTTAAATTGCAGTATGGGACCCACTGATGGGAACATATCCTGTCACTGTTGAAATAATTTCACTAGCATCTGGTCCATTCGGAACAAAATTCAAAATATTGATACTTACCTTAATAGCCCTATGTAGCTGAGAAACCAGGTGCCTGAAGGAATGTCCATTCCTATACCCACTTCCCTGTGTATTGAGACCATCTTTGGAGGCTTTCCTCCAGGTCCCCCTGTCATCTGAGATAAGGCAGATGGTGATCAGAGAGAAAGCCTTCTCAGTGGTGGCACCCTATTTGTAGAATGGCCTCTGCAAAGAAGCTTGCCTGACACCAAACACAGTTATCTTTTTGGCACCAGGCACATACTTTTCAAATTTTATTTTAACAAACTTTATTGTAACAATTTCTAAAAATATGTTGTTAATATATAGAACATTTTAAAATTAAAAATACAAGTAAAATGAAAATCAAACTACTAGCAAAACATTAGCTATATTCTTTGACTCCTTTAAGTCTGTTAGATAGTCTTGTAAATTCATTACCAAAAATCTGTGAATAAATAAATCTGAATCCTCAGCTTTTTTTACTCAAAATTCTAACACATCAACTAAAATCGGACCAATACCCCAATATATGCACCCCAATATTTAGAAAGTTAAAATACAATTTTAATATATTAATATATTGCCTTTTTTGCACTACACTGATGCTGCAATCCTAAACATGCTTAATTAGAAGACATTAGGACTTTGTCCTGAGTAAAATTCCTTAGTACCCTTAAGAAGATTGAAGTTACTTCTACTCAAAAAAAAAAAAAAAAGTTTGTATTTTATTTTACCTTACCTATATCTGCAATCTTCTGTTTTGCATCTTCTATTCTTTGCAGCTCCCTCTGCTTTGCTTCCAACTGATGTTTTTCTTCTTTTTCAGCATCATATTTAATACCTGATGAAAGTAATGTAAATACATTAAATTCTGAAGACCACACTAAAGATAAGCTGTGATGAAATGGAGAATATTTAGTGAGTCAAAGATCTTACATCCCATGAAAGCAGTAAGATTTAAGGTATAAATACAACATATACGAAGTATCTATAAATGATACTATCCTGTGTTTGTGCATCAGGCGCACACACTTAACAGAAAAGGAAAACTTACTGAAAGCCATTCTATTCATTCTCTTTCATGAATAAAGTATAGTTTTAAAACTGTTTTCCTCATTTATGTTCAAATTAAACTAATGAGCTTTGGAACATTTGGGGATCATCCCTACAAAACAAGTGTATGAACATGAAATTATAAATAAAAAACTGTTGCAGAGATGCAATATTTTCCCAGACCCTACTGACCTAACCAGCCAGTGTTAAAAGATCAGAAACAGGTCCTGATCCATAGCATTATCAACTATAACTGAAGGAGGGGAGATCAGAGACAGGGTTGCAATCATAAATAGGGCACAACAAAACAGTAACTACAGTTTCACCATGAGTCTAGGGTGGCAGGATACTTAAGACAATCTACAGAGCTTCGCAGAAGTACTGAAACTCCACATTACATTTTCACTCTTTGCTGTGTTACAACATGAAATTTAATTTTCATTGTTACTATCTGATCTACAAGAGACACTCAATACTGTGAAGTAAATATTTTTACTGAATAAAAGTCAACAAAAACAAACTGGAACTTGTTGATTGCTTAAGTATTGATCAGCTTGAGTCAATACCTAGTTGAAGTACCTTTGGCAGCAATTACTGCAGTGAGCCTTCTTGGGTAAGTCTGTTTCAGGTTTATGAATCTGGATTTTACAACATTTGTTCATTCTTCTTGCAATCTGTTCCAGCATTATCAATTTAGATGTAGACTACTGGAGAGGTCTGGGCTTTGACTGAGACATTCAGCCTTGTTCTAAGACCAATCCAGTGTTATTCTGGCTGCATATTTACGGTTCTGCTGGTAAGTGAACCTCTGCCTTAGGCTCAGCTTGAGACTAGGCTTTAACAGTGTTCCAGGGGGCAGTCATAGTTTGGGATTTAAAAAAACAACAACTCTGATTGGAACTTTCTGTACAATTTCATCCTGGAGTTTTTTCCATAGCTCTTTGGTCTTAATGATATGATCTCCAAAAACTCTGGTGCCTTCCAGAAACAAGCATATGTAATGTAAGATCATGTGGCACTGGCATTGTACACAATGATTCCATAAAACTACTTATAGTATGTGACTTTTGGAGGCAGTGGGTTGCATTGGAGCTTATTTGGGCATATCATGGCGAAGGAGTGAATGCTTCTGCAACAAGTGACAGTTGGTTATGCTTACTTGACTTCTGCGCCCCGACAAAATTGCTTTGCACCTTCACTGTGTTAAAAATCTTGTAAACATCAAGTAGTAATAATACAAATTAAATCTATTTAAATTACAGGCTGCACAACAACAAAATGTGTAAAAATGGGGGGATGTGAATTCTACTTCATGACTCCAGTGTCTTTTTAACTTCATTAACTCAGCTAAGAGAATGAAAAGAACTAAGCATTAACTAAAAGAACTACATTAAGAAGAGTAGAGTAAGGCCCCAAGTTGCAAGAGTTCCAAAACTGCCTTAATTCTGGCAGACAGTGGTGCTTTCCCAGAGCTGGGACAGCTCCTGTAATCATATAGAATGGCAGGGATAAAGCCCAGCCAGCAAAGCCGGATGGCTTCTGGGGATGCATAGGGCTTTAAAGCTTTACCATAGTCAGACACCTCAGACTTGAACAATATAACATAAAGGAAAATTGTGGCTAGACAGCTAGGGCAGTTCCCCAAGTAAAGTCAGCTATATGAATATTTCCTCATTTTACTGATTCCTTTTGGTCATTTCAGAAAAGTAATTATTCAGTAAGGTATGGTCACATTTTTTAAACCCAAAGGGGTGCCTTCTTCCTTGTCAACTACAAAGGACCTTAGATGCAGAAAAACAGTAAATACTGATATCCAAATTATTTACTTAACCTGAGCAGTTTTTTTTCATTATGAAATGTTTTCATATCTGATAATGTGTCATAATGATCAAAAACAAAAAAGACCAAAATTATACCAGCTACATTCAGCAAACAAATCTATCAGTCCTTTTTCTAAATAAACTTACTGGCTGTAGGCACTATAAGCAAGTAAACTTCATCTAACACAGCTTCAACTGGTTGAGTATAAAGATTTTTCCATGGAATTTGCAAATTCAGTTGACCTATAAATACAGAAGAATACATGGCTATTATAATTGAAAGTAAATGACATGTTTACTCAGTTTAATGATTCTGTTGTTTCACAACAATTTTCTATTGCAATTCAAGATTTACAAATACATACTTAATAACAAGACACATACCTACTCTTTCTTTCACCAAAGTATGTGCAAGAAGCCCTATCAGGATTGGGACTACAGCTCACAAGTGCTTAACTCCATCCATCTTATCCTCAACTCACCCTGAAAACTGCTATTAATATTAATGAGAGCTTCACCCCTGGAGCTAAGAGCAGCTGGTGGGAGTGGAGGGGTAAAATGATTTTAAAGATTACTTCCAGGATGAATAAAACACTAAAAATTTACTCATGTACCATGACCATGTACTCCTGCACCTATGTCCACTTCTAAAACAAAGAACACCCTGCACTACTGCAAGTGAAACATTAAGTATGCATTTTGTAATGCTACAAATTATACACCAAACTCAGATTTCATGAACTCATTCCTGCCCCTGACTCTTTCTTATATTTAAAGGTTAAAAGAGTAGAAAATCACTGGCAATCTTGGTGGCTGTTATTGGTATCTTTTTTTTTATTTCTCCCCAGTTTAAAATTGAATGTGCACTGTTCATCTGAAAGAAAGGCCCATTTTCACTATCTAAAGTAGGTGCAGGAGATCCGTGGACTTACAGAAATTGGTTGTCTCTGACCCCATCAGCTTTAGCCAGCATGTTCAATAGTCAGGGTTGGAAGAATCATAGCCCAATGACATCTAGAAGGTCACAGTTTATCCATTCCTGCTCTAGAGACCGAACACAGTCATAGAGCTCCCTTTTAATAGAATGTGGAATGAACACTTCACAGTTTAGACAGAGATACCTTAGGGCACAACCTTACGGCCTCCTGACATTATAAGGGAGGCTACAAGAGTCTTTCAAGTTCCAGCTTACAGATTCTGCAACCTCAGAGCTGAGACTCCAAAGACTGAACCACTGCAGAATTTTATGGAAACCATAGAAGAAGTATCTATCAAATGATAGATGAAACAGAATCAGAAAAATATTAAATGCTATTATTAAACTGCCAATTATGGTTCAGGTTATAGTGAGTGATTCTTACAAGCTACCCAGAAAGTTGCATTCTGCAGAAAAGATGTCTGGAAAGAGGAAAACATTCATTTTTAAACAAAATGTAAACTATGTGATGGTTTGTTTGTTTTTTTAGGTCCAACTATGTATTTTACTTGGCAAGGCAGAAGTCCCTGAATTCCAATAAACTGGATAATTTCTGACCAGTCTTTCATTTTTGGGCAGTGTTAGAGCATACAGTGGCTTCCTAGCTCTGAGAATTACTGATAATGCAAATTATCTAGATCCATTTCTAAATGACTTCAGGCCTAGTTATTAGACAAAGACTGCTTTGGGCACCTTTGTGAACAATCTGTAATGCAGGGGGAGTGTGATCGATTGGTTCTTCCTTACAACTTTCAGTAGCATCAGCCAGTGTATCCTTTTGAAGCTTCTGTTTGAGGTGAGACTGGGTGGCACTGTTATACAAAAAGTGATACTGGGACATATTTAATGTCATGGCCATCAACCTGCGAAATCCCTCAGGGTTCCATCTCATTCCAGATTTTATTTAACATATGCATGAAACCACCAAAAAAGGCTGCTGATGAAACCCAACTCTATCGGTTCTTTTAGTCTAAATCCAAGGAAGCTATTCCAGTTCTAATGTGGTGTTTGGATGTCAATATTGGACTGGATGACAGCTAACAAACTGAAGCTTAATGCAAACAAAATAGAGTTGCTTATGGTTAGTCACAAGACAGATAATGAAATAGGAATGCAACCTATTTGAGTTTACACTGGGATTACATTGCTCCCAAAGAAACATGGTAGCAGTTTGGGTATGCTTCCAGCCTCAGCTTGGAACCTGTATGTCCACATTTTAGCAGTGGCCAAGAATACATTTGTGCCAGCTCAGGCTGGTGTGCCAACTGTCCCCATTCCTTGTGATATCTGACCCAGTAACAGTCACACTTGTCTTAGTTACATCCAATTTGGGATGTGGCATGTCATACACAGAGCTGCCTTTGAAAACTAATCAGAAACTTCAGCTTGTCCAGAATGCTGTGGCCAAATTGTTGACCTTGGCTGCTTACAGGGAATACATGTTTCCATGTTACAACAGCTTCGCTGGCCTGTTTCTGCACAAGAAGCCAAGTGAGAGGAGGGAAAGGCAAGCAGTAAAAATGAAAGTGAAACATTCTGAGTGAAATACTCCACAACTCTTCAGATCTTTTTGCATATAGCCTGAGATTTATATTGTTCTTTTCCTGGAAGGAAAAATCTATAATGGCAGCAGGCCATAAGCAAAACCCTGTTTGGGAATATTTTAATGAAGTTCTGCTACCTGTGGGTAAGGCATGCATGCATGACAATTCCGTAGAAAACCATGATTTAAATCTAGTCTTACTGACTAGTGACTTAAATTGTGTTATAAATTAATTTGATTTAAATCAAATCCACCCTGGTTTGAAACTCACTGGTAAAGCTGTGGTTCCTTCTCTCTCTGCTCTCTTTTTACAAGCAGACAAAGAAGGTTTTATTCAAGGCTTTTGAGTAGGGATGTGTGAGAAATCCAGTTTGGGGGTGGGAATCTGTTGGATTTCCTCAGCTTGGCTCTCCAGACCCCAGTCCACTTCCTCTCTTTTCTAAGTCACCTCATACCAAGCATTTATGCAGGTGTCCAGCAGAAAGTGAGTTGATGCAGAGTTCTGCTTCCCACAGACCTCCCTGTGGACTTTTGTGTAATTCGCACAAAGGATATTATAGTATGTGTACTTTGCACACAGACTTGATCTCAGGTCAACTCACTTGGCCAAGCATAGCAAAGAAGTCAGTTGAGTGCAAGAGAGCTGAATTTCAACCTGATTTTTCCATCCTACTTTTGGCATGTGAGACTTGGATATTACTTTTATTCTGTTACTGTTATGTCTTACGTGTTTTAGTGCATTTGTTCTGTTACTGTTTTAATCAAGTTTTGTTTATGAGTCTTAGCTGTCCTGAGTGCCATTTTTCTTGGTAAAAAGGTAAAGTACAAAACAAACAAACAAATCTGTATGTGAAAAGACGATAATTCTTAAGAAACAAGTTTGTTCTCTTGTTAGATAAAGCAGATACTCTTGAAGGTACTGTTTAGAATACTGTTTGCAGTATTGGAAGAATGTTTCTTCTAAAATTCTTCTAGAATTTACAAAATGTGTTAAGTCTGTTTTAAGAACAATTCTTATTTTTAATCTCCTGTCTGATTAATGAGGAGCATTTAAAAAAACTAGTTCCATCTACCAAATCAAACAGAATTGCCTGGTACACTCTTCAGTGGATAGGACTGAGCGCGAAATGCTGTAACTCTAAATATATCAAACTAAAGATTATTTACTCTTTGCATTCTAACAAAAACAGAATAGGTTTCAGTAATAAGATACCAAACAATAATTAAAACACAGCAAAGCAAAGGTAACCAATGACAAACCTTTAGGAATCCAATTTTAAAAATGATAGCTATATATTGTGGTAAAAGAATTCCACTTACCAATATGCCCTGCTTTAACTTTAAATGGGACGTCAAACTGATACTGTCAACATAAACATTTTTTAAAGTTATTTCAGCAGTAAAATCTTACAGTGTTTTTAACATCCTTACATATGCATGAGTAAGTTTACCAAGACAAAGTTTACAAGTACCATGCAGTTTTGAATACTGGTCATACAAGTTCTGGCACCAACTATAATGGCAAAGAGGTAAGAATCCAAGAACCCCTTAAAGTAAACACTGGATTACTATGCAGCATAATATCCATATAGAATTAATACAGAGAGAAGCATTGTCTGTAGAAAAAGTCTACTGTTCCTGCCCTACAAATTAAATAATGAAATATGAATAAAATATACACAAAATTCATGCACCCAGAAGTTCTGCACAGACTCTGTCTGCATGATTCGGAATCTTGAAAAAAAAGCTGTGTCTGGATCATGTGTACAAGGTATAGATACAAAAAGCAAGGTCTTCATACATACAGTGTCAATATGTATATAGTTCTGCTAGTTTATTCTAATGTTTCTGGTGTGCGTCTTTATAGGAGATAGCAGAAATCTGCTGCTCTATCTCATGTGCTATTATTTTATATTAATCATACTGCTTCAGAATCAGGAAGTGACTTGTAATCAAATAATGTAAACAGGAAATGTATATTCTATAAATTTGTCCTTCTTTCACATAAGGTGATGAACTCCAAAATACTTGCAAACAAGAAAACTTTGGAAGGCAATACTCCTTCCTTCCTTCTTAATGAGATACTACTCGCTTCCTTTACTCTTTTTGGTAACCTACACTTTGATTTCCCATGTTGTTGGATTCTATACATTTCTTACAATGGGCTGGATCCAGACTTAGTCGTACTTGTAGAAAAATAACTAAAATGCACAGGAGTTAGCTTAGTTTTTATTTAAATAGATCTCTCTATAACCATGTCCACATCTAACTTGTTAATGCAGCACAGCAGAAGTAGACAAATTTTAAGATGGGGACCCAGTCTCAAAGAATTTTTGAGTTATATGAGTAAACTACTTGCTCAATTAGTTTTTACTTTTTTAAAACTATAAAGTCAAGTATTTCAACTGTAGTTAATTTTTACTTGCTCTGAACTTACCAGTGCATTTTCTTTTATTTCAAGATTCTTAAGTGCTACAGCTCCTGTTGTAAAAAAAAAAAAAAAAAAAAGACTGCAATTAGAGAAAAAACTCCTATTTTGCAATGCTATTTTACAACAAAAACAATCTTTCTGTACTATATATTGTACTAATCTTTGGTTATAATCATCATTACATACTTAAGTGTATTTTTCTTTTATTTTTCACAGGGTCTTCTTTTTCTTTTCTTTCTCTCACTTGTTCTTTCTCCTTTTCTGCTTCTTTAGCCAGTGTTAATACTAATCAATGGTACTACAAGTCTTAGTATTAGTATTAATAATTGACATAATCAATGACTGAATGGAGGCAGAATGTGATGGACTGCACCAGTATTTCACTGGGAGCCAAAAACCTATTTTCTCCATTGTTTCTGTAATTTTGTTTTGTTTTGGATGACTTTCATTTATATTTCACATGGGGGTGTTTTACTGTAATGGGATAGAGAACAGCAGTGGCGTCATGAAATTTGCATACCTCTGAATTATTTGAAACAGTTTTTCTTAATATGAGTGCAGGGACAAACAATATATTCACGATGATCTAATGTACAAAATGACTCCTTAGAAAATCAAGAGACCATAGAATTCCATTAGACGAAAATACAATGTGAAAGTAATGGCACTGACTCCCCAGAATGACACTGAGTAAGTTTATGTGATGGTGGGCAGTAGATTTTAACAATATCTTAGATCTCCTCCTGGACAGGAATATACAGTGGTACCTCGGCTCATGAACACCTCAGTTCATGACCAAATCGGGTCACGAACAGAAATTTCGGAAAAATTTGCCTTGGGTTGCAAACTCCGTATTGGGTGATGATTGCGATCGCGCCCACCTCCCCCGCAGCACACCCCCGAGCGCTTCTGCCTCCTCCCAAGCGCACCCGCGATTGCACCCGCCTTCCCCCCAGCTGCGCCTGGCTCCCCCCCGAGCACACCCAGGATCGTGCCCGGCTCCCCCCCTCAGGTGCGCCAGCAATCATGCCCATCTCCCCCCCCAGCGAGTCCACTTCAAATGTTTGTGATTAAAAAAAAAAAAAGTTACAGAACGGATTAACCTTATTTACGTTGAACCTTATGGGGAAATTTGACTTAGTTCCCAACCAATTTGGGTCATGACCAGAGTCCTGGAATGGATTAAGTTCATGAGCCAAGGTACCACTGTACCAGGCCCTAGGAGGCCAACAATGGTGAGAGCTGACTGATTCTTGGAGAATAATGCATCCAGATGAGAGAGACTATAGATTTGGATCTTCACTCTACCATGACCAGTTTCAACTGGATTATTTTTAAGATTCCAGAACCTTGCTATACAAATCAAAGATTGTAAGACTGAAACATTGGTAATAAAAGATTGTGTTCCACTTTAATTGTGTTTGCAATTCAGAAATACCCAAGGCCTACTGGTCTTTTGTTTGTTTAAATGAGTCCTTTAAAAATCAGATTCTTGCTAAGCTACAAGAATATTCTGAAATCAATGCAGGTACAACCAACTCATGTTTCTTTGAGTAAAGGGCTAGTAAACTTTCACTTGTGCCGAATTATTCCTTATGCTTTTCATAAATTTTAAAAGGAGAAGCAATTAGCTTTAAGTAACAGACTGAAATCTTTTATATCTCAGTATGCCACCTCTTCAAATACACATTTTTTTCTGATGCCAGACTAACAGATTAGGGGTTTTGTATAAAAACACTGGAGCTAATTTCATGACATGACGATTTATTTGTTTTTCTACAAAGAGAAGAAAAATATTATTGTGTGGTAAAAAGGGTGTGTGAGACAAACAGACTGCCCATGGCAAACTGCTATGTAACTATTTCTAGAGAAAGACCATGCAAAAAACATCAATAGCTATCTTGATTCACTGAGATGAAAATAAAAATTGATTCTAAAATACTGAACACATTTTTGAGTTCTTCAGAACTTCATCTGGTTAGATATTAACTAAAGCAGGAAGGAGATATATAAAGTGGATGATGTTTGAAGTTACAGTTTGTGTAGCTGTAACAGCACTAAGATGGAGTGCTGAAGAACATGTACATAATTATATTGCCTCCACAAGGTGTTAAACAGGTTTCAGATCACAAGGATAGCTACTGTGACAAAGCAGTATTCCTGATTTATCCCCTATTTTTTTTCCAAACATAAGATCTGACAATTACTTGAGACTTATTTTGTAGAAGCATCCTTGTAGGACTATTTATAGGAAGAAAAATGGTCATCCCACAACTGAACAGTATTTTAAAGTAGTAAGGAATATGGGAACTGAATTTAAAACAAAAACAAAACTCATGGACAGTATCCTATTGTGGCCATGAGTCAGAGGGTGTGACTAGTGCAACAACGAGTATTGAGTGATTCCACAAAAAATTCAAAACAAATGGAAACACTCATTTCAGGAATGGGGCAGGCCAATGAAGCTCACAGAAAGAACTGATCTGTCCTGATTCGGAAACAAGTCTTTCTGCTCATTCCTGGGTTAATTTTAGAACTGCTGGATGCCCTTTCAAGGTCACCATCACCTACAGCAGTCCATTTATTGGGCACTTGTGCAAAGGCTTTCTCTCTTGTGTTGCTTCCACAATATGAAATATGCTCCCTTAAGAAATATTAAGAAAATTAAGGAATAAAAAATAAATAAATGTGGGGATAAGATTGAGAGCAGGAAGAAGATAATGAGATAAGCCTCTTTGAGTTTGGTGTAAACAAAAAGGCAGGATAAAATTCTAATAAATAAATACAACTGGTTACAATCTTGGCCTTTATAAACAGTATAAAGATTTTTTTCAGTTTCACTTTTAAAAAGTGTAATTTTAACATTTTACCATTTTTAATGTTTCTATTGTCATAAGAGCTATTATTTTAAAGTGTTGTACACTGTATGGATTCTTAGCAGATAAGCTGGAAAACAATAAAAATAAGCATCTAGTTCCATACTGGTGCAAAAAAAGTAAAAGCACAGCTACAGTACAGCATACTTCTGTACTTGGTGATGTTCTTTATTTCACACCAACCAGTAGTGCCTTATAGGTTTCTCTCTCCTATGCAATCATATCTATGTTGAATGAAGCTATCCGAAAAAAGCTGAACATATATAACCGGTTCACATATAATGGTGGTGAATACAGGGTTATTTAACTGACAATTTGTAGGGGTGTGCACTGAGTCACTTCTGCTTAGAGTAACCAACATTCAAACTGCACAATTGGAAGTTCTCAGTGTGCCATGCAAAGCATGGTCCTATTGTTAATCCATAGTTTGTTGCCAGATTAACTGCTGGGTTGTTCAGCCCTTAAGCAACCCAAGGGTTTGGCTTCATACGTCACACTAACAATCTATCACCGTGCTGGAAACGGGCCGTTTACAGCAAAAAGATAGCATACAGCATGCAGCCCCAAAATTGATGGTTAAATAATCTAAAATTCACTACCATTACATGCAAACTGTCCAATACTATCATGAGGAGGGAAGGCATTCAAGCTTTATGTATTACCTGACCTGATGTGGTAGATGCAGGTTCCTTGGTTGCTCCAATCACATCTTAATAAAGCCTGATTTCCCAGAAAATAAGGCTTTTTTAAAAACCAACACTATATTCAAAGCAATTTGGTATTTTCATGGTTTTGTCCAGCATTACCTTAGCTTACCTTTGTTCTTTGTTATTCACATTTTACTAGCCTATAGAAATGGGGAACCCTGGTGGCCTAGAATGTATTCATTCAGTTTCCTCATTAGCAAACTTAAGAACATTTCCAGAAATCTAGAAACATTTCTAGAACTCTTGGATGGAAACTGTGAAAGTAAAATAAAATAAAGTTTCTTACAAGAATTTTGCCAGATATAGTTACTTCAGTGCATCATGTAAATGTAACCTTCCTTTCAGGTATTTAAACACACAGCTATTTTGGGATACTTAAACATACTGGAAAGAGCCCATACATTTGACTATGAAAGTATCCACAATAAATAAGAGTGATGAAACTTGGAAGAGTCATTATTGCTCCTTCACTTGGAAGCTAAGAGTTAAATTCTATACATGTATAGACAGAAAAATCTACAAATCCCAGTGTGCTCCAGCTAGCCATGTTGGAAGTTGTAGCATTTCTTTCTGTCTAAACTTGCACAGCATTGCACACTAAGTTACTTGATGTGTTTGTCATCATCTTTCTCAAGAAAAAGTAATAATTGACATAACTGAAATTAGGCAAAGGAAAACTGTACTGCCAAGCAGTCAATATAATTTTTTCTTAAGATTCAGGCATGGTTTCTATTCCTGGATTCCAGAAACAGGGCCCTGAGGATGCTGAGTCATACCTCTGCTAGAATGAGTTTTTATCAGGAACACTGCAGTTCCTCTCTGGGAAAGCAACTTAGGAAAATGATTTGATAAAAAAGTATTTTGGAGAAAGGATGTATCCCACTGTTGAAAGAATTTTCCCTTTAAACAAAGGCAGAAGGTGATAGGAACAGGCCTGGTATCAAGCAAATTATCTTGCTCGGTCAATTGTAAATATAAATAATGCCTGATTATTAATTCTTTCCATTACAGGAAACATGTCTAACATTTAAAGCTGGTTTTTATCTTTTTTATTTTACTGAAAATAAAAATTTCTTACATACTGCCATTTTCAGTTAGTGTTTTTGATTTTAAAAAAAATGTAGAAAAAAAAGGTAACACGCATATATGCCAATTATTATGTTGCACTTTTTAAAGCTATGAGGAACTAGAGGACAAGAGTTGTCTAATATACCAAAGCAAAAGCCAAAAGTGGCAGGGTATCACTCAATTCAGACTTCAGGAACATAGGAAGTGTTTTTATATTGAGTCAGACCAGTAGTCCATAAAATCTATTGTCTAGGTGTGGATCTCCCCAGCGCCCTACCCATCTGCTTGCTCAACCTGAATATGCCAGGTAATTACTTCGAGATTTTATGTACACAATGGATATGCTCCTCTACTAAACTCTATACTTTCCCAAATAAGCAAAGAGAATAGAAGTTCTCCAAGGAGTAAAACTCATCAGTACTATGTCTTTTCTCACATTTTAAATATGCTGCCATTTATGCAAATTCTGCTGTAACCAAGCACTGAAACTTCAAATCTAGTATATTCAAAATTGCATGGGTTTTGTCTTCTTTTTTAAAAACACTCAGGCAAAGCCTTTAGGGAGCACCTAGAGGGCCACAGCATTTTTTTGGAGACACAGATGAAATTGGAAAACAGCTCCGGCTAAGAATCAGAACTCAAAGTGTCATCCCACCTATGCAGCCAGCACAAAAGGAACTCATCAGCTGCATCTCCAAGATCGTAAGAGTGACCTCCCGGAAGGGGTTTAAGGGGTATTCAGAGGGAGCAGAGTGGTGCTGCCAAAGTACAACGTATTCTAGCAATGCCCCAACCTCATCAAAGTGCCACAGTTAAATGTCTGTGCAATTCCGTATCTTCTTGGAAGTACTCAATCTAGCTAACGCTCACATTACATAGCTTACGTTGAGACATACGAAAGGCAATTCAATATAGAAGAATTCTGCCAATGGACAGGTTATTACATATATATAAATAATTTATCAACCACATTCAGAAAGAAAACACTGTGTGTGTGTGTGTGTGTGTGTGTGTCAGAGAGAGAGAGAGAGAGAGAGAGAGAGAGAGAGAGAGAGAGAGAGAGCGCGAGCGCGCGCGCGAGCGCACAAGCACAATCTGTCTTATTTTATAGAAATGTGTACTATTTGTTTTAAGGAAGAAGTTGATCTGAAATATGTAATCACGGAAAAGATAAAAAGAAAATGCTGCTCTTTGTCATCTTTCTGTATAGGGAAATTAGACGCATTACTTTTTAAGAACATACACATTACAGATCTACGGTACCCATTAAATTATTATATACAGGTTCTCACAGTTCTGATATTTAGGCATTCCTCAAAACCTACTTCTTCACAAGACATTCCGTGAAGTGTGAGCCATGGTCTATCACACACAGAGTATGCAGTGTCACATTCGGTTAGTAATTGTTATTATTGTGTAATTTTATCATTGCATTGACTGTATGATTCTGTACATTAGAATTTTGAAACTGTATGGAAAGTGGTATATAAATCTGATTAATAAATAAAACAGGGAGGGTTCTACTAAATAACATATCCACAATTAATACATATAGCCACCTGTTCACTTGTGTAGTGTTTGTTTTGTCTTGTTTTTTTTTAAGTGTGGCCACAACATTTATCTGTTCAATCTCTATGTAGAACATATACGGAAAGCTGGATTAGAAGCAGGAGTGAAAATTGGCAGAAGACATATCAATTATTTAAGACAGGCATATGATACCATCTTACCAGCAGAAAGAAGTAATGAATTTTAAAAAAATCCTGCTGAAAGTGAAAGAAGAAAATGCAAAAGCATTAACTGCCCTGAACTTTAAGAAAATAAAAATCATGACTATAGAACTTTAGAACTTTACTATCCACAATGAAGAAATTTAAACTGTGAAAGGTTTTGTACACCTTGGTTGAACTTACCAATTCAGACAAAGACTACTGCCAAGAAATTCAAAGAAGATTGTGACTTGGAAGGGTATCAGTGAAAGAACCAGAAAAGATCATCAAGTGTAAGAACATTTCACTGGAGACAAAGGCCAAGATCACCCACACTACTGTATTCCTGATCACTATGATGTGTAGATGTGAAAGCTACACAGTGAAGAAAGCTGACAGGCCTAAAATGATGCAGTAGTGCTGAAGGTGAGCTCTGTGAATACCCTGGACTGAAAGGAAAGCAAGTGGGTCCTAGATCAAATCAAGTGAGAACTTTCCCTGGAAGGAAAAATGACAAAACTGGAGCTGTCATATTTTGTGCACATCATGAGAAAACAACACTCACTGGAGAAGACAAACAGGTCGGGAAAGTAGAAAGCAGAAGACCAAATATGAGATGGATTGACTCAATAAAGGAAGCCACAGCTGAAATTACAGGATCTGGGCATGGCTGTGAAGGACAGAATATTTTGGAATTCATAGCGTGCCTGTAAGTCAGAGACAACTTGATGGCACTTAAAAACTTAAAAACAACGTATTGGTTAACCCTTTCAGATCCCAAATTGCTTATACCCAAAATTGTCATCCGTAAACTGGCCTTCAGTCATTTAGGATCCAAACCAAAACTGCTAGTGTTTCCCTTTCATTCTATTAATTATTTTAAAGATGACTAAAGCAACGGTCTGCCACTAATCTGTGCGAAACATTGATGGCATAACTTAATTGTATTTTTTCCAGCCTTCTCAAAAATAAAGATTGGTGTTAACAATACAAAACAATTGAACACAACTAAAGTAAAAAGATGACATAATCTATGTGCAATAGCTATAGATTCTGCTGTTTAAAATAAAAGTCTATTACATTACAGTCTTAGTGAAACTAAGAAGATCTGCATTCAGTCATTGCCTGAACGACCAACAACCAGAGAACCTTGTCTAGCACCCTAAATACTATTAAAGCCAGTCAGGATACAAACTAATCAAATTTTAGGAAGACCAGGACTAGAATATGCAAGTACAGTAGGACTAAATGTCACCACTGCCATTTAATAATAGATCAAAACCAATGTCTTGATTCCTCACAATGACTGGCCATATAAGCTGATACATATCAAGAAGCACAATGCTGTTCCAATGACAAAAGCATTTAATTCATATATTGTGTTTACACCCTAGCAGTCTCCAGAACCTGATCCAAATAGAATGCGTGGGAGAGGGGAAGAGGAGTACTTAAAAACAATGATCTAGTATGTAGCATTTATTTTGCTTTTTGCCCTTGCCACGAAGAAATCGGCCGTATATAAATTAATACAATGTAATTAAAAAACGTTTCCGCTTCGCGCACACCAGGTCGCCTTTGAGCAAAGCAACTTCCAATACGGAGCAGATCCTACAGCAGGTGAGAAAGGGCAAGGCATGCGAAGCGCTGCCCACGTGACCGGGCCTGCCCAGCAGACGCGCCACGGGAAGCAAGCCAGAGAGACGACTCGGGCGGAGTGGCTCCGGGAGGGCAGCACTGCAGCCTGTGGCGCTCGGACGAGACCGCGACTCCCTCCACGTTGTTCTCACGGCGAGGGAAGCACGCCTCCCGCACTCCTCTCTGCTGCGCACACGCGTGCGCCCGCTGAGAGGCCAGTGACAGCGCCATGCGACGGAGGAGGAGCCCGGCATCCACCTCCTGCAAACGGGGAAGGGGGTCAGGCAAGGGCGGACGTGTGCTCTCGTTACCTCCCCAGATGCCAAGCTTGAGCTGGGAACTGTCCAGATTCACCACATAATCGCCCAGGAACCGGTTCAGAACGTCCACAACCACCGACTCGAACACCATCCTCGGGAGCAGCTCGCTCCCCTTTCCGTCGAGCCGGGCTTCTGACGACGACGACGACGACGACGGTTCAAAAGGTCACCCTTACAGAAAGCGCACGCCCCTCGCTGGCCCCCTCGGCCCTCCTGCCGCCCCCTGCGCTCTGCTGCGCCGAATAGGGTGGTGCCCTGTCTGGCCACCCGCTGGCTCGGCGTGTTCTTCCCTGACTCTCCCTGTCTACTGCGCAGGCGTGCAAAGGAGACTGGGGCGCTCCCGGGAGCCCTTCCCTGCAACGCTTGGAACGAACACGAGAGAAGCGCCGCTTGTTCCCGCCTCTCCGCCGCCTACCCTGGCAAAGAAGCGACGATAGGGACATAAGATATGCTGGTGCCGCGCGCGCGCAGATGGCGGGGGGCGTCTCCCTCGCGCGAGACTCCAAACGTCAGTTAAACTGCCCTTCCCTTTCTCCAAGTGGCGCCAGGCGAGAAGCGCTGCTCTGAGCCCACAAGTGGCGAGGGCCATGCCTCCTGCCTCGGCCAGTCGTGCCGCCTGGCCTTTCTCCCTACCCCGCCGTGTTAATAGCAAATGGCCGCGCGTCCCAAGCAATGCACCCGTTCCGAGACCTATAGCAGTTAGCCTTAGTTCTTGTTTACCGCTTCCGCTCAAAGTTGTGAGAAACAGCGCTGGGCTACGGCCCTCCAAAGCTCTTAGAGCGAAGCTGTCGCACTGCCCTTCCTGTGCGCGTCTGTCATAAGCGGAACGTGGCATCTATTTTAGCGGTTTCAGTATGGGTCTTACCGCCATTGTTGCCAACTGCTTTACTGTTCAGCCTTTCTCTGAGTGCCTATGCCATGGGAAGCTCGGAGGGTGCCAAGAAGGAGCAGGGCCTTTTCTGTGGTGCCCATCCCATCTTTGGAATAGCATCCCTGCTGAGGCCCACCTGGCACCAAATTTGCCATCGTTTTGGTGCCTGATCAAGACAGCCCTCTATGCAGAGGCCTTTGAAGATCTTGGTTAACCAGAGGCCTGTGACAACTGATTTTTCTTCCTTACTGGCTTTTTAAAGCTTTATTTTAAACTTTTGAAAAAGATATTTTAAATTCATTTCAACATTTTATGGTATGTGTACTGTTTTTCATCATTTTGTTTTATACATAGTTGTAAACTGCTGAAAGAGCTTGGACTATGGGGTGGTATAGAAGTGAAGTAAATAATAATCTTTATTCTTGAAAGTAATCTTAGAGTCATTTCTTTGATGCCAATGTTACTTTAGTTCAACATCTGCAGAGTTAATGATTTATTATTAAATTTCTAATCTAATGTTCTTTGAGCAGACTAGAAACAGGTACTAGGATATTATTTATAGTGGATAATCAATGAGGTGTATCAACTATTTGGTGGTATCAAAATGAAATAAATAATCAATTGGATGCATAATCATGATGGCTGCTGAAAATGCTTTGGAAACTTTTGAAAATATAAACAAATGAAAGCAAACTAAGTGTTCTCCCCAACTGCAGAAAGGAAGGGGATATTTATTTTTAACCTGAAAACTTAAATGTTTTAAAATGTAGGCCGTGCTTGGCATAAGTGAACTTTAGCTGCCTGTTTATGTTAATAAAACAATAGAGCTTTAGATATTATCATCCTGGCCACTTCTGCTAGTCTTCCTGGCAGGGAGTTTTCCAAAAGGGATGGATCAAAGGACTACACATACACAAGGCTGCTGCATTCCCTCCCTTGGCCATACTCCTTATCAATCTAGTACAATGCTGTCTTCATGCTTGGGGTACCCATGAGCCTCTGCTTGCAGGAATGTGATATCACTTTGGCACCTTCCAGTAGGGAAGAGACATTGGCAGGCCAGGCAGAGATACTCATTTAGTTTATCATGCATTATTGTTATTAGTACCTGCATAAGTAATCAGTATACTCCTATGCAATGATTATAATGTAACATAGTTGCTTGTATGCACTGTGCTTCGTATTATGTAGCCTATATAGGGTCACCATTTTCTTTGTGCTTTTGTTTGGACTTCAGGATAATACCTGCTGCCTGTCCATTCCAGCTGATTGGGGGTTCCTTTGCATGCTATCTGTACTGTGCTCTGTAAGTGTTTAACTGCTAAAACCTTTGAAACTTAGCTAATGTTTGGCGTATTGCAGAACAATAAACTATTTTAATAGTTGCAGGATGCTAAGTTGTTTGGCCAAGTCTGTTGTGTTGTTGCAGAATGTAAAACTGTTTTGATCATCACCAAGATATTACATTGGATCAACGTCTGGTTAACAAGACTGCTGGGTGGTGTCACTGAACAACATCCAGCCTTTAGTTAACAAACTCGGAGACAGCATATCACTTCCCGGGAATCGGAGGGCTTAGGCTGATGTGTTCTCTAATCAGATTTTATTCCAGAGTAGTTTCAAAATTAAAATGCAAAATTAAGTCACTGAAAAATAACCAGCAACTAAAACAGTCAGCAAAAAACCCTGAAATGCCAAATGGTGCAATTCCATATGTGCCTGCCCTTAAGATCTGAGGCAGACACCCTTCTCTGGGTACCCTTCCTAGAGGAGATTAGGAGGGTGACTACCTGGATTAGGGCCTTCTCTGAGGTAGCACCTCAGTTGTGGAATTCACTCCCCAGAGAGGTTCACATGGCGCCATCACTTTATTCTTTTGGCGCCAGGCCAAACCCTTTATATTTTCCCAGTGTTTTCAGACCTGACTGTGTTAAGTGGGGTTTTTATTATTACTAAATTTTAGGATGCTGTGTTTTAATTAATTTTTTCTTTTCTTACATTTTATTGTTAAACTGTCCCGAGACTCCGGTAATGGGATGGCCTACTCTATTTTCTGAATGGGGATTGCTACAATTGTAGGACTGATTTCTGCCTAACCTAAAGCCTGGAAGAGTAAAAGGAGTGCGACTAGTAGCTTGCTTGCTTTTTTTTGTTTTTTTCTGATGCCTCTTGCATCCCATTGGATCTTGTCACTAATACTAGTACAGTGTCGGCTCACAAACGCCTCAGTTCATGACCAAATCAGGTCGCGAACAAAAGTTTCATAAAAATTTTTGATTCAGGTCACGAATTCCACATTGGGTGCCGACCGTGATGGCAGCCATCTCCGCACGCCCCCCAAGTGGGGAAATGGCCACAATCATGCAGGAGGTGGGAGGGAGATGGCTGAGATCACACCCGTCTTTCCTGCACGAGCGCTCCCGTGATTGCACCCATCTTTCCTGCATGAGCACAACCGCGATCTCAGCCATTTCCCACCCCCCCAGCACGATCCCGCCCATCTCCCCAAGCGCAACCGTGATCTCGGCCATCTTCCCCCCAGCACAATCCTGCCCGTCTCCCTTCCCAAGCACGCCCACGTTCGTGCTCGTCTCTTCCTGCCAGCATGCCTGTGATCGCACCCATCTCTCCCCCTCGCACCCGCGATCGCACCCATCTCTCCCCCACAGTGCACCAGCAATTGTGCCCATCTCCCCCCCCCCACAGCGTGCTGGGATGACAGGCGCGTTCGCGGTCGTGCTGGGGGGGTGGGGAGATGGCTGTGCTCGGGGGGTGGGGGAGATGGCTGCGATCTTTGTTGTTCTTTGTCACTTTGCTTCACATTTTTCTGATTAAAAAAATAGTTATGGAACGGATTAATCTTATTTACATTGAACCTTATGGGGAATTTTAACTTGGCTCATGACCAATTTAGGTCACGACCAGAGTCCTGGAACGGATTAAGTCCATGAGCCAAGGTACTACTGTATTCAGCTTGTGACTTTCTAGATCTTTTGACCCCATCATAATTCACCATTGGCTATGCAAGATAGGGCTGATGGATATGATATGCTGAGGCATGTTGCTCACCCATTCTTTCCACCTGCCTCTGCTGTCTTCTTAGCAACTGTACTTTGGACCTACCTTTTCCTTGGGGTTACATTGGAGCACAGCGCTGCTAAATAGCCTGGTTAAAGAAGTTAGGGGATACAAGACCACACCCATATTACCTGTTTTTAAGAATTGCCTAATATTTCAATTACTGTGATTCTTAGGCCCTAATCTGTTTGTTAGTACAAGCAGCAGAGGATCCAAAAGATATATTATCAAATATGCACATCACACTCAGGTCTGTTCAAGCAGAATCCCTAGAATGGGATTCCCTTGATTAAGTAGAGCAAAAATGCTAAGCCAGCAAGCCTATAACCACTTTCTTAAGAATAAATCCAATTGAACTCAGTAGATTTACTTCTGAGTAGACTCCCAGAGGATTTTAGTAAAAATGAAGCCCAAGCGTTTTTTAATGAATTAGTCATGTATCACTTTACATAGCATCACTTTGAGCATGCTATTGCTAACATTTTTCCAACTTAGTTGCTTCAGGTTTTGTTTTGGTTTTTTTTTTTTTTTTTGTGAAATGGGTTGAATCCAGTGTCATACTAAGGGATATCAAATAAAAACTGGTACCACACCAAATTAAGGGTTCTGTCATCACAACATTGAAGAACTTGAGACCAGATTATCTTAGGGAGTGCCTCATTCCTTATATTCTTGTCTGGTCCTTGGAGTCCAAAGAAGGAGCTGCATGTTCCTGAGTTTATCCTCAGTGTAAGAAACACTAAGAAATTGTTCAGAGCTGCAGTTTGGATCCTATTAACATTAGACTGACAGTTTCAGTTTTGATCTTTACATGTCAAAACTTTCACTCTTCATGCTAGCTTTCTTTGAAGTGTAACCCAGCCAATTTAATGAGTTTTACCACTAAGCACTGATGATTTTATTGTATTTTATAGATATTAATGGTAACTGCAAAACAGTGTATAAATTGGATATATAGAAACATAGAAACAGAACGAGTCAAAAGGGGTCTCCCGGGCCATCTATTCTGACCCCCGGTTCCAACCAGCTTCACTCATGACATGTCCAGCCTATCTTTCAACACCCTCACTGATGGGGCCTCAACCACCTCCCCTGGAAGCCCATTCCACACCCTCGGGGTCCTAACTGTCAGGAAGTGCTTCCTGGCATCCAAATGGAACCTTGGCTCCCTGAGCTTTGCTCCGTTGGAGCGCGTTCTGCCTTCCTCTGCAGGGGAGAACAGGTCTCTACCCATCTCCGTGTGACATCCCCTCACATACCTGTATGTTGCCAACATATCCCGTTGGAGTCTCCTCTTGTCCAGGCTGAAGAGACCCAGTTCCCTCAGTCTGGCCTCATATGGCATCCCCTGCAAACTGGCCACCAACCTTGTGGCCCTACACCGCACTGACTCTAACCTGGCTATATCCTTTCTGTAATGAGGGGCCCAAAACTGA